GAGGTGTGCTGTGATTGGCCAGCTATCCAGTGCATTGTGATTGACCGAATACCTCAAGCGTGTGACGGAAATGTTACACCCCTTACATATTGTGATAATGCACTGTCAGGCTGGAGCGATGATTCAAAAACATGAAAACCCATTAGAAACGATACATTCGTTGCATCCAGTGGGGACATAATTATGGATTATAATGTCTTATACTGTCTTTTTACGCGCTGCGTTGCATCGCGCCGCGTAAACATAAAACCATATCTGCATTTGTGATCGGAGAAATGACAAACAACAAGCACTACTCTACACTGCCCAAAAAACTCGCTTTAAATATATAAAATATAAAAACTCTTTAAATATAAAAGACGTACTTACAGTCTTTGAGTCAGAACAGCTGGCATTGTAGTCTACTCTCCCAGGATCAGGAAACAGTCCTCCATAAAATGTGCTGCACACATCTGAATATTTGGGTTGAAGTGTTCTGGACAGTGTTGTAAATACAACTTAACCACTGATTTCAGGTCGTGTCCTCTTTTGGAAGGCCAAACAAAGTAGTTTTACTTTCACAACGAAACAGCATCACCTACAGTGAGCAGAGGCCGGGGGCTAGAGTGAGAAACGGCGGGAGGGCTAGAGTGAGCAGAGGCGGGTGGGCTTGATAACGGCGCGGCCGGCGATTTCGACGAAGGAGCGAGTGTCCGGAAGGATATGTGACGGCTCCGGGCTGGACTCCACTTCGTCCACGGTGAAAGCCGATCCAGCGATCGACAGCGCAAAGTTGTAGTATTTCCTCAGCAACCAGCACAGATCAGCTCCAGGCATGACGAAGCAGATATCGTCCTCTTTTGGAAGGCCAACCAAAGTAGTTTCGCTTTCATAACAAAACACACAGCGTCTTTTACGACATGGAGGCGGAAACAACAAAACTACAGCAAGAATAAAAGTTACCTTCTTTCTTTGCGTGAACATTTGGGCGCCGTTATGCAAATCTTCCGTGTAAGGACCTGCTGAAGAAAGACACCACTTTGACTTGTGCTCCTGACGGCTACCACAGTGTACATGGAGTCCACCACTCTCCCAACAGACTCTCTGAATTTGAGGTGCTTTTCTTACTCATTTTCTGTGTACTTAAATATTCTGCTTGTGTTTTTGGGATCTGATGTGACTCTTGAATTGGTGCGTGTGTTTATATTTGACAGGATGATGAGTTTGTTGTCTATAACACAGAGCAGATCAGACTGAAATATCTGGTCCAGTACAGTCTGGAGGGGGACGAGTTAAAAGAGTTCCAGCCTCATATTAACACTCAGCTCACGCAGATCACTGACACAGCGCCTGATATCTGTGAGTAACATCCAGTGAACAGGACCTGCTGAGAGAGACCAGCTTTTATATGTGGAGGAGTTGGGACTGTCAAATTGATTACATTTTAAAATTCAAATTAATTAATCGCTATATATTTGTTGATATTTGCTAAAGAAAAGCAAACAATTTTAGAATTTACATAGGGGTATTAAATAATTACATTTAACTGTTGCTCTGTAAAAGTGAATGCTATAATATTTGTTGTTACATTCATCAGTGGTTTTGTGTGATTGTGTGTTTTTTAGTGTCCAGTGATGACAGTGAGGGTTTGGAGTCCACTAAGAATCCTCTAGAGGAGATGAACGCAGGTTTGCTGGACAGCAGTGGTCAGAAACTTCCTCTACAGGCTGTCAATGTGAAGTGCAAGCTGATGGACCTGCTGTGTCAGGTATGATACTACAGTGGTGGACTGCAGTGTGGAATTTAAAAGAAGTGCTGAGAAATGAGCAAGATGAAGGATTCCTTTCACATACAGAAGAACAAGATGGATAATCAAATCTAATAAACTAAAACTAGAACAAGGCAGTGATGGACTCAATCAAGACTACTTGAACAAAGACATGACAAGAAATAAAAAGCAACAGAATTGGCAAAATAAAAGACAGATAAGAGCCAAACTAAAAGACCTTGAAATCCCACTTCCAAACATGTAGACCAGAACATTATAATTTCAAACCTCAATTAAACAAATCTCTTTATTTTTCTCCTTCACTTACAATGAATTTCTGAGCCTACAGTTTGATTGTGTTTGTGCTCGTCTAGCTTGACAGCTAATCGTCATTTGCTCAGAGCTCTGGCTCAGGCAGGTGGAGGAACATATGAATTTTTTGACACAAAGATGAAACACACTTGGACAGAGAAGGTGAATCACTCTCTTTATTATATTGTTTTTTAATAACTTAAAAGGAAACATAATCTTTGCAATATGGGCCAGTCTGAGGCTTGAGTTGAACAGATTTGTGGGTAATTTCAGGTGCACGCTCAGGTTCAGCGTATTGAGTCTCCAGGCTGCAGATCAGTGGCAGTGAAGTGGCAGCAGTTTAGTCCCACAGCGCCCCGTCCTGTTCAAGCCCCTTCACAGCTTCACGCCCTCTTCAGTGACTGTCACTCTCTGATATTCGGCTTTGTGCCACACTGCACTCAGGTAGACAGACTTTACGGTTATACTGTTTAATATAAGTAAAGATGATTAAATATTCTTCCTTGTGTTCATTAATCGACAAGCAGTATGTAAAACATATCTTGATTATTTTTAATTAGTATGTTAGTTCTTAATTCTAGATCTCAATTTAGATCTTAAATCTCTTTAGATCTCAATTGTCATTTATCAATATACTGTATGTAATATTAATCAGACGACTATAAAAAGCATTAAGATGTTTAAACTGAATTAACCAACTATTTGTGTATTTATTGTTTTGAATTGTGTAATATTTACTCATTTAGGCCACACTGTTTGGTGATTTGAGTGGACAAGAGATCAAAACAATGGTTTCCACCACAGAACTACAAAAGACAAAGGGAACTGTGAGTGAGCATCTTAAATACTTCATATAATCTGAAACCTCATCAGTTATTCATTAGGTGTTTGAAGAGTTGTGTGTGTGTGTGTGTGTGTATGTGTGTGTAGTTCCTTCACAAGTTAACAGCAAGAGCGATCATCAGAGACTATGAAGATGGCATTCTAGGCAACAGTGAGGCAGAACACGAGGTACAATATTTGGCTGCATGATGATCATTTTTATATAATTGGCAGATTTGCTAACAGAAGAACTTGACTTGCTGTCTTTTATCTCTCTTCTATCAGGGAAAGAAAGCAGAGCTGAAGTCCTACATCACTGAGCTCAGTAAAGAGTTCTCCATCTTGTCCCAGTTCACAAGTTTTGTCGCCATTGAAGAGAGGGTATGATTATAAAAAAAATGTATGACAAAAATATTTTTATTTTTACATAATATTTATTTACAAATTCACCCAAAAAAAGCTTAGGCCTAAATCCTATTTATTAAAATATTAATAATAAAAATATATTATTTCAACAAAATATTAATGAAAATATTATTAATTAATTAATTAAACATTTAAAATTAATACAGAATAAAGAATTGCATTTTCTGACTTGTGACACTAAATGGCCAAACAGGGAAATGTATTGCCAATGCTGATAATTAAAAAAATACCAATATTGTCTGATTTATTAGCCTTGAACATGTCACTCAACTTCTACTAAAGTGTGATATATAAAAATTAAGCTGAATGGCTTCTGTAACCTCAGTTGCTCTTTGCAGGACCAGAATGAGCTTGACACTGGATTCACAGATATTCCTAAAATCATCTCAGAGGAGGATGTGGATATTTTGCCATATATGGGCTGGACTGAAGAGAAGCTGAAGGCCACGCATATTATTGGTGCTGAAGATGATGATGTATGGGTAACAACAAAATGGTCTATTACAACTGTTGTCATATAAATGTAGCACCATGTAATATATTCACAACAATGCATTTATAATGTAGGGTTTTTTTTCCAGATGGAATCAGAAGAATTGTTCAGTAGCAGCTCCACGTTTCATGTTTTGGATACGGATTGCATGGAAGGATACATTTGGAATGAAATATCTAGTGAAATTGATCATTGCGAAATGGAGGATGCTGAGGGATCTAGTAATTATTTTATAGATGGGTCTGCAGCTCCCCCTAACCCTCAGCTAATATCCAGATCTCATGCTTCTTGCTACAGTACCATCCAGAGTCCTTCTCATTCTGAGCGTAGCACTGACGTTTTCATAGGCTCACGCAGGCATTCTGCAAATTTGGATGTGTTTGGTATTACTGCTCCACTTGACCTCTCTGCTATATCTGCTCCAAAGTCTCACCGTCGCCGGGCGTCCGCTCTGACTGTTAGTGCCATCAAGTCCATACCTTCCTCCATGAGTGACAGGCCTCCCCTTCACGCTGCCGTAATGCCTCCTTATGATTCCTCCATGAGTGACGAGCATCTCTTTTACTGTACTGCTGCAGTGCCTTCTTTCCTTCAGTATCCTCCTATTTTTGCATCAGCAGACTCTCTGTCCAGAGATGACAGCCTTCCTCCTGTTAGTGCCAGTGTGCAAAGTACTAGCTCCATGTATAAAAGACGTCCCATTTTACATGCCAGCAGTGCACATGTCATACAGTTTGCAGGTCCTCCTGATTCTACTAATCTTGCATCCACACGGTCCATGTTCACGACTCCCCTGCCACCTCCTCCTCCTCCTCCTCCTCCTACTTCAAACATGATGGCTGCTGTCCCTGCATTCTATTCTCAGTTGCACTTTCCCCCTACATTTAGTGACTGCAGTAGTAGCCCCACACTTTTGAGTGAGTCTCTGAGTTTGTGTTCCTCATCAGTTGGACATTTCTTTGAAGCATCTCGTCAACAACAAGCACAACAGCAACAAGTGCTGCAAGGTGTGCAACTACAACAAATACATCTGAGTTCTACGAGTTCTGCACCTGGTAAGTTGACTCTGATTGATGAGGTTGATGAGGTTCCTTCTGTGATCATTGTTCAGATGGATTAAAACATCTTTTCTATCCTTTGTGTCATTTCTCATGAAGCTACAGACAGTTTCACTTTTGAGTTTGACACTTCTCGATATAAGGGAAAAAGAGTAAAGGCACATTTCGCACCACCTCACGACAGCTTGCCAAAAATGAGAAGAAAATATGACACAGTGGCCTGGAATGAGCTGTTTGAACTTCAAGATAAGGTGTTTACATATGATTTAATACACTAGATTATATACAGTATGTAAATGTGTGAGGGAATATGAACATATGCATTGTGTTTGGATGTAGGATGGATACTGGGAGTGCACTGACAGGCTGAGCAGCTTCCTCAACCTGGACGTAGACTTTTTTGCCAATGTCTTCCTTAAGGAGAAAGGCATCCGTTCTTTTGGTAAGATTTTTTACATGCCTGTTGCTGGTCTGGTCCATATTGTAGCTTATTCTCGACAAGAACCGCCCACTTAGACAGGAAGAGACATCTGACTGGCATGTAAAGCAACTAATCACAGTTTGTTTATATGTGCCATTTAGGTGCCATATGTACCTTGTGAACACAACTGTTTCCAGACAGACTGAGAAAAACACCTGTGCCTTTACTGTGTAACACCATCCAATCATAGTAGAGCTTACTAGACTGAGAACGTGCTTTCCAGTTTAAAGTGCAATATGCATCAGGCTGAATCTGAATATAGTTTAAAATAATCTCATCTTTATTTTTCAGGGAAATCTGATTGGTTAAAGCAACGGTTTCATTGCCATTGATTTAAGCTAACAGACGCCTGCACTGTGGATTCTGAAGGCCTTAAGGCAGATTTCTTTGACCCTGGCAACACGATTGCTGAAATATGATTGGATAAAAGCTCTAATATAAACATACACTGCAACCAAGAGAAAAGCTATGAAATTAAGAGAATAGACTATTGGAAATAATTTAATACACATTAATGGAAAAATATATTAAAACTAAATCAGTGATTCTGATAGTGTTTAGGCCAGCAGAGAAGGCTTTGTTGGCCCTGATGGCCCACAAATGTTTATCTGTTTCCTCAGACAGGAGCGCCTCGCACGTCTTGTAGTATGGGTTTCCTTTGCAGATCTTGTAATAGCAGTTCTTCAGACAACTGGAGGGGTTACAGGTCTCGCAACGGCATTCGGCATTTAAAAGCCAAAAATAAAAACTGTCACATTATATCCCAATCTTGATGTTTGATGTCAGCCACCATCCACAGAAACCAACAGCTATGCATGTAACCGTAAAACTGCAAAAGATGTTTGATGTTTAATCAGTTGTTTCGATTCATATGCTTAAATCTTGAACTGAATGGCAGATTCAACTGTGACCGCTTGTCCCACAAAGATATTAAACATTGGTTTTCCTGTGCAATAATGGTGGGAAAGTTGAATAGCTTTTGATTGTCATTCGTGCTGGGTCTCCAAACTCGGTCCTGGAGGGCCGATGTCCTGCAGAGTTTAGCTCCAACCCTAATTAAACACACCTGAACCAGCTAACGAACGAAGGCCCGCCTCTCCATTCATTCGATTGGAAAATGGAAAAAACGCGAATGACGTCGGGCGCTTTTCTGCTCAAAGGTTTTTGTTTTTTTTTCAACTTTAGGCGCTCAGAGCACTCCTACAAAAACGCACATAAACAGCGCGCAAAACGCTCACTGCCAATAGAAAGCCATTTTTTAAAAACGCGCCTCTCATTGCAGAAAAACGAGCTCTGGATGATCAGGGCCTTGTGTGTAATGAACCCAGTGTTCGAATTGTGGGGGGGCTGGGGGTCCCGGACCTCCCATAAGCATTAAGGACCTCCCCATAACACCCAAAAAATATACTTGGGGGGACCGGGGGGGTCCCCTGGTTTTTCAATAAAACTTTAATATACGTAAAATGACATTTCGATTGCTGTTTTAAATTTAGACCTGGTTGTTACATCATATTTTATTTTTACTTTACAGCATTGCTCATTATAACCAATCGCACACGATTCTGTTGAGCTTAGGAATGCAGTAGCCAATCAGAGGCGTTTAGATCAGTCATCGCTGAAACCCCAGAGTAGAGGGACCCCTCCAAGAGCTTTGACACAATTCGAACACTGAATGAACCCACACTGAGGAAATCAACTGGAGTAAAAAGACAACTAACTTCAGTCTCTCCTGGCAATCAGAAGTTAACATACTGCAACAGTCCAAACATGATTCTTTTTTATATCAGCCACCACTGAAAACAGTCTAAGAAAGGTCTCTCTAAGAGCTACTTACCTGTGACTTGTTTTTGTAGATTGTAATCGTGCTCTCTTCTTGAAGAGTGAGATCTAAGTCCTTCTTGCATGGAATTTCACGCAGTGTGTCATTATGTTTGGTTGCCATACAGAGATAAAAGTCTCCATCTAAAAGAACAAATCCCCCCCAGAATAGACCGATTCCAAGAAGCTGGAAGAGTTGAGGACAAAGACCGTGGCAACAGGCTGCACAATTTTTTATTTTGGTTTGTTTCATTATTTTTAAAATAAAGAACAATATCAGAGGATTGAGCGCAAGGTAAATGATCACAATATAATGAAACTCAGGTGTGCAGGAGCATGAAAACTCAGAATTAAAGATGTACTGAAAAATTTAAATCCTAATAAAAACTAGAAATATGGTGTTATGGTTTCAATATGAGCTTTTGAAGGATTTCATGTACAGCTCATGATATGTTGATTATGCAACTCCAACAACAGTGTATTCTTTCTTTCTTTCTTTCTTTACAACAATGAATAAATTAATAAATTATTAACAGAATGAAAAATAAAAAGGAGATGAAATAACTATAAATATATATTAATGCCAGACTGTTTTGAAAGAAATACGTCTTTAAAATTTCCATTATGTGTCCAGGTCAATCTCCCACTTTTCCTTAATATTATACAATTTCACAAAATAAATGTCCTGGAGTATTTCATAAATTTGTCCAGTTATTCAGTCATATACAATTAGATTTATTATGTGCATCAAAATGGATATTGCCTACTGTATTTATTTGAACTTCCTCGTTCAAATAACTTTTACAGATACATTTGCTGTAATTTATCAGATCTTTGAACAATAACAATTTTGATACTACCCTGAAAAAATGGTGTAAGACTTACTTTCAAGCAATTTTCACACATAAATTGTTGTACATTTGACAAATAATCATTACAAAGAAATGCAAATATCACATTGATTTAACTGAAGTAGAAAGATTTAAATAGTATATTCTTGTAAAACCTATTCCAATAATCATTGCTTTATTTACAACTTCCAAAATCATTTTTTACAGAGTACATCCTCAAATGTGTCCCTTTTTCATTGCACATCTTACAAAGCCTTAGCAGTTGTCATTAGCACTTCAGGATGCTGTGTAAAATCTGGATCTCATGCTATTTCTCTGAAACAAATCACTTGTATTCATTGCTTTATTAATCCTTCTACATTTTTTTTTCATGTATACAATTATATTTTCTTATTTTTTCCACAGAATATCACTGTGCTAAATGAATCCACGGACACAATCTCATTCTCATTTTCATTCTCATTTTAAAAGGTACTATCTGCTTTTGATTCACATCAGAATTGATTTAATAACCTGAACTCTTGATAAACCCAGTTGCATGTGCCTACATACACTATGTTCAGGCTCCGCTGTATATTTTTAAGTAAGACAGTCTGAATAAGTCACCTGATGTCTGAGTCCATGCAAGACCACAATTGCAAAATATGTTTTTCCCCCCCACATACATTACTGTGTCAGCATGAGTTTTTCAGCTAGTATATGATTTCACAGACCAATTTCCCAAAAGTAACCTAATGACATAGTCCATTATCAAATATCACTTTCTCAAAATCTTAACCCTTTAAGCCATGAAGGAGTTTTTGCCTCCCTGAAGATGTTGTTTTTTCTGAGTGACATACACAAAAATAATGACTCATAACTCCAAGACTGTATCAAGGAGAGTCAAAAGGTTGGTATCATTTGATAGATAGAACAATGGTTTCATTTGGACATTGTCATGCTGAGAAATAGCTGATAAAACAGTGTAAGAAAAATGTGTGTGCTCAAATTTGTGTCTTATTTGACATTCAATATCTCAGGACAGAAATAAGTTAGGAGGAATTTTTTTTTGTGGATGTTCCCTATCATGTTAGCTGTATCTGTTTTAAATTTTGTAGTAATAGCATAAAGTATCCAGAAGTTACAGCATTTTGGAACAAAAGAGGCCTTTTGTTTAACCCTTGACTCCCTGAAGGCATTTTAAAATTGTTGTTTTCTGAGTGACATACACAAAAATAATGACTCATAACTCCAAAACTGTAGCAAGGAGAGTCAAAAAAGTATAGGTATCGTTTGATAGAAATCTTTCTATATTTTTAGGGGGGAAATTCTTTACATTTGGGCATTTGGGGACAGTCGTGGCCTAATGGTTAGAGAGTCGGACTCATAACCCAAAAGGTTGTGGGTTCGAGTCTCGTACCGGCAGGGATTGTAGGTGGGGGGAGTGAATGTACAGCGCTCTCTCCCACCTTCAATACCACGACTGAGGTGCCCTTGAGCAAGGCACCGAACCCCCAACTGCTCCCCGGGCGCCGCAGCATAAATGGCTGCCCACTGCTCCGGGTGTGTGTGTTCACGGTGTGTGTGTGTTCACTGCTGTGTTTGTGCACTTTGGATGGGTAAATGCAGAGCATGGGTCACCATACTTGGCCACATGTCACTTCACTTCATTCTCATGCTGAGAAATAGGTGAAAAAATGTAAGAAAAATGAGTGTATTCAAGGGAAATTTTTCATATCATTCTTATTTGACATTCAATTTTGTTGTGATATCATGAAGTAGTCAAAAGTTACAGCATTTGGAACCAAAGTAGCCTATTTCTTAGCCCTTGACAGATTTGAAATGATTGTTTTCTGAGTGACGTAGAAGTATTGCCTCGCTCAAGTTTAGTCAAAGCCCAACAAATATGCTTGTTTTATTCTACTCTGTGAGACCTTTCAAATGACATGACGACACATTTGCTGTAAATTAACCGATATTTGTACAATAACAATTTTGATACTACCCTGAAAAACTGGTGTAAATTAAAAACAACAACAACTACAACAGAATAAATAAACAATAAAACCATAGTGCTATAGGGGTAGATCCACATGTATCCCACACACATTATGGTTTATTATAGACATAATTAACATATCACTGACAAACACATACATGCATGTTAGGCACATTCCCTTTTAATAAGGAGAGCATGGGTTCAAGGCAAATTAAGTTGTTTAATTTTATAAAGCTGTTTTTTTAGCATCTAATGCATTAGCAGCATGTTTTTAAGATTTAAGTTTTAAAATCACGTATCAAGACCCTACACAGGCTTCTGTATATATTTTACCCTCAAGTTGAATTTCTTTCTTCTGTTAAACACAAAAGATGTTTTGAAGAAAGATTGGTAACCAAACAGTTGATGATTGACTTCCATTTTTTTTCCCCTACTATGGAAGTCAATGGCCATCAACTGTTTGGTTACCGTCATTCTTCGAAATACCTTCTTTTGTGTTCAGCTGAAGAAAGAAACTCATTTGTGTTTAGTGTTCCCTGTTTATTATTTAGGTGAAAAGGTAAATTCTGTCAAGCTGTGTGTTATCAAGAGTGTCAGAACACACCTCTCAGAGGTAATATTGACACAGGGAGGAGGTGCTGATCTCTTTCCCTGGAAGTAAAGTTTGAAACTAGTCTGAGGATTAGAAAGCGCTCATCCATCTTAAAGCCTGTTGATTTATTATGCAGTCTACAGAGATGCTCAGCAGAGTGGTACATCGATTCATCAAAGATACTGCTTAAAAGTAGGAACAGGTCACCAGGATGGCTTCTATTGGACAAATAATCTTTGGAAGGTAAAAGACTTTTTCAAACCATTTCAGGTTGAAAATTATAATATGTATAAGGAGTCAATATTGAACGTTGTTCATCAAATTTTTGTCTTTTGCAGTATGATTTTTCTCATAGTAGTAATTTCTGGACTCATCATTTTCATTTTGGCTATTGCATTTTCAGGTTAGTAAAGCATTCTGTTCTTAAAAAGCATTTGGACATTTGATGTATAAACTAAACGCCTGTGTGCATGTTTGTTTCCAAGTGTCCCAAGGTATCGTTGAGAGCAGAAGTCCCTCTACTGTGGGGAACCTTGCGGAGGATGTGGTCCTGGATTGCAGGTTCCTTAGCAACAGTGACAATGAGCAATTCAATGATGTTTCAATTACTTGGCTGAAAGACGCCCTCCGTGGGGTGGTCTATGAATACAAGAACAAAGCAGCCCAGCTTCAGGGGCAGAACACACAGTTCCAAAACAGGGCTCAACTGTTCTCAGATGCTATATCAATGGGCAACGCTTCCCTACTGCTGAGAAATGTGAAGCTGGAGGATGAGGGTGTGTATCGCTGTTCTGTCAATGCACCAAAAGTCTCAGGGACTACCAGCGTTAACCTTAGAGTGGCTGGTAAATACATTCTTTATTCATTTATTTCAAAGTAAATTAATGTTTAAAATCAGAGAATATATTTCTGCTTTATACATACATATTTAAAATGATATATTTTACACATACTGTATTTTAGTGTATATATCTGAATTTTGAACTTTTCACTCAAATCTTTGTATTATTTGCAGCTTTCTCAGCTCCCACATTTACTCGACGGGCAGATGGGTCTCTATTTGCTCAGGCTAATAAATGGTTTCCCCAACCAGGGGTTAGCTGGTTGAGTCAGAGTGGGCAGCTTTTAAACAGCAGCACCCAGTTTATCAACAACACTGCAGGAATCATGCGAGTTGTTAGTGTCCTCGAAGGCCCAGTAAAGGAAGATGACACCTACACCTGTCTTATCCAGAACAGTCTTGTGAAAGCTATCGCAGAGGCAACTGTAACAGGTAAAATAGTGATGTTGACTGAAAAAAGTGTAAAGATCAAACTAATTATTAAGCAGAACTTATAATAATAGCCCATAATCATAACATTTACTCAGAGCATTGCATATCAAATCAAGTTTGTTAGAACAAATTTGATGACAACTTGGACACTGTGGACAAACACACTGGATGTGACACATTAAATAGCATGACGCATGCTATGTAGAGCAAATAATGAGTTACAAACGCAGCATAAAAACACAATGTTTCTGTTATACAGTAAATGTTGCTTTTCTTTATGATTATCCTCAGCAAACAGAGTGACGGAGAGGACATACTTCATATTCAGTGCTGCATCTACAAAAGTGTCATGCTTACAACTTATGTTCACAGTCATCCTTGTTCTCTCTGCAATCCAGTAGATGCCGTATCCAGTTCAAAACAAGTAGTACTTCTAACCAGAAATTGTTAAAGCAAAAGATTTTTTAAATTAAAACAAGAATATAATCTCTATTTGGTTATTCCAAATATAATATGAAATATAATCAACTCTCTCCAATGGTTGGTGATGGTCAAGCCAATCATGGTTTTCTCAAGCCAGTCATGTTTGTCATCCTAAACCATAATTACATTTTCCATCATAAAGAAATATATATATTTATGTATATATATATATATATATATTTACCATCTGCTTATCTGCTTAAGCCTAGATGTAATGGACATAAATTCAGCTTTAAAAAGTATGTTTCAGGATACATCCTATGAACTGAATCAATATGAAACTTTTGTTATTTATCAGCTGCTCTTGAAACATCTGCTAACATAACATAACTTGCTATTATCTGAAACTGTTCGTGTAAAATGTTTGCAGTACCAATAAATATTGTGTTCTTATGTCAACAAGTTATGAATTTCCATTTTGCATTACACTTTTTACACAACTTATCATGTTCATTTCAATATTTAATCAGTAAATATTATTTCATTATTAAATCAGTAGATTATTACAATCAGTAGTTGTATCCATTAATATTATGCAGCGGACCTGAGTTAACTAACAATGAACCTAACATAACGATTAGCGTAAATATTAATAAATATTATAGCAAATTTGTTGGTGATAGTTAATGCATTAGGCTAATTAACGTAAACTAATGGGTCCTTATTGTAAAGTATTGCTGATAACAAAAGACCAGCTATTTAATAGCTGACTAACCAATACAATGATATTGTCAATGCTACGTCCAAAAACAGAGGCAATGTTTTACATTGTACATCTTTATTATTACAAATATAGTGTCTCCTGGTTAATTATAAACAAATGTCCATTTTTGAAATGAAACTGTATTTTGCAAAGAGAATTGGCAGGAAATAAAGCATGAACTGCATATTAGCAATCTTTAACCTTTGGGTGGTGGTGTGTGATCTTGATCTTGTCTAGCCAGCCCAGCAGATGGGGACACCCATATTCCACGTGTGTTTTGCAGGCATAGGGTTCCTCTTTTTTCAGCTAGAACAGGTCAGAGCCATGGACTACAGCTCTGGAACAGGTCAGATTTCAGGTCACGCCTCCAAACGTGTACGCGTAAGATGATTGGACGGCGAGAGAAAGAGTGAAAAAGTTTACTCAGTTTGGTGAGAGTTCCATTTTTTTTTTTGAGTAAATGACAATATTTACCAAAGACGATTAGCCGTTTTACAGTGCAGAGAAAAATATAAAAATAAGTAGAAAAATAACAACTGCAATGTCACTTTGCAAAGAGCAATTAGTCCATGAAGAAAAGCAAGAAGCAGTCTTGAGTACACTGGGGGACACTGGAAGGAAGTCCAGAGCGGTCTGTGGTGTTTGTAGTCGGACGTATCGAGACCCTAAGATCCTGCCCTGCTTGCACACGTTCTGCGCGGACTGCATTCGCCAGCTCGAGCCGTTTTCTGTGCGTCGCGTGAACGGGGAACGACGTTCGCCAGAAGATGACATGCAGGTGCGCAACTCTGGCTCAACAATCCTGTGTCCGGAGTGCGATTCAGAGGTGGATCTGCCCCCGTCCGGTGTGGATGGGCTGACCATTGACCATCTTGCGCTGGACGAGGTTTTCGCGGAGACCCTGCTGGTGGACTGCAGGGTTTTGTGCGACTTGTGCAGCGAAAGTGACGCGGGGAAGCGCTGTGAGGTGTGCTGTGTCAGTCTCTGCGACTTCTGCAGTCAGGCCCACAGGTTAGTTTATTAGAGGCGCTTTGGTGATTAACATGAAAAGTAGCCATTTATTTACCCCCATAAGCCATGTATGACTTTATTCCTAGAACATAAATGGAGATGTTAAAGGGATAGTTAAAAAAACAAACCTGTATGGGTTTTCCAAGTATAATATTAAATATTATCAAGATTTCCTTTTCCAAAATGTAAATAAATAATTATTCCTATTTATGCATTCTCAGCTTAGTCATACAAACAGTCGTTGCAAAAGTGCTCCAGACAGGTTTGTGCGAGTTGGGAAGTCTTATAAATAAGACTTAATAAAGCAAGATTATTTAACTCTACTTCTACAAAATGATAAAGAATGTGCAACAGGTGTGTTTTTATGCATTCTATGAAAGTGTTGTGAACTGAATTGTTATATATGCTATTGTAATTGTATAATACTATAATATTTTGTACATGCAAGAAATTTTTATTTTATTTTATCCTTCATCCATTGATTCCACCATGAAGTTCGGACCTCAAAGAAAATCCACTTTCCCACTCTAAATTACGACATTGTGGTGGCATTCACATTTCCGTCATGACTTGAACTCCTGAAATGTGTCTTCCCTGCAGGAGACAGAAGAGGACCACCTCTCACTCTATCCAAAGCCTACAGGAGCTGAAATCTCAGGGTCGTCTCACTAGACCCGTCTTGTGCTCACTGCATCCTGGCCAGGAGTTACGACTCTTCTGTGAGTCCTGTGACTTCACAGTGTGTCTGGAGTGTGCGGCCACCTTTCACCATGACCACCACTGTAGCTCTGCCCATGAAGTCATCAGTCATCATGGCGATCGCATCAGGGATCTGGTTTTCAGGAGCTTAAGGCCCCATCTTGCTCGTCTGGAGGACTCTCTGAGACGCGTGGACACTTCCCAAGAGGTGCTGCAAACACGGACTGATACATTGGCAGGTGAGATCCGGGCATTTGCTCGGAGCTATGCCAGAGCGGTGGAGGCACATTGCTGTTCACTGCTGCGATCACTGGAGGACTTAAGGTTGCAGCGCAGGAACCAACTCCATCTGCAGAAAGCTCAGCTGCAGCAGGCCTTGTCTGACGTCTGTGGTGGGGTGGACTTCGCAGAACGCCTGCTTACATGTGGTTCTGACGCTGAAATCCTCAGTGCCAAAGGAGTTACTATGAGGAGACTGATGAACCTTGTGGAGTCGGGATTCGACCCACACCCAATGACGGTCGCCCATGATAATGCCAACAGCATCTGTTTCCTTCCCCAAGAGAGTGCTGGGGAGGTGCAGGGATTTCCTGTGGTGGGAGTCGTACATGCCACGACTGTGGATCCCAGCAAGTGCACAATCCAGGGAGAAGGTGAGAGTAGGGTACTGTCATCGATGTACATGGATAGGCTTCAAAATAATTTTTTTTTTCAAAATGTACTTAGACCTGATGACTTAGAGAAACACCTCAGTCTTAAAGGGATAGTTCACCTGAAAATGAACATTCACAAATCAGATGTGGCTACATTACACACATCTCTAAAGAACAGATTTTCAGTGAATAATTTGAAAAATTTTTGGTTTGTTACTCATAAAAGGCCATCATTTGGTTGTAGCAGACTTGATTTTTGTCATTTTGGACCATGCCAGTCCCTATTCGATTTCCTTATGTTAAAATAAGAGAATATTCTTTCAAAATTCAAAATATAAAAAAAACCTTAGGTTTTATGTTCCATAGAAGAATGTCATACAGGTTTGATATGAAATAAAGTTCAGTAAATGATGACAGAACTGCTTCCTTTAAAGTAAAAAATTAAATTAAAAAAGTAAATCTGCCAGTTGTTTTATACTTTATATTTATATTAGCCTTTCTCCCTTTGAATTTGGTCATTAGTCTGTTTTTAACTCTAAATATTGTTACTCATGAAGCTATGTGGTCACGTGCAGTATAAGTGTTTGGTATGGGGACTTTACTGTGGAATTTTAAGCTCTGTTGGTCAAACACATGATGGTTCAGTGCACATTCCTCAGAAACAGTACAGCTCAGATGAAACTGTATATTTGAAGCTTTCTGAGTTCAGATTGTGTGACATGACACTGGGATAAACAGCAGGCAACATTCCTGGCTACCATGACAACCCAACCTTTTTATGTACTGGAGCTCCTAGAGTATAATTGTAAAAGGGACACTTATCCAGATCTGTCCCAGCATGCCACAAGTAGGTTCACAGCAGGAGGAGAATACACTGCTGTTTGCCAGTGGTGTGCGGGCTGACTATCCATGTCAGGTTTCCCACAGTCACAGAAAACAAGAAACTGTCATTTGTAAGAGCTTGTGTAAGCACTGATGTGAACAAGACACAATCCAGTTCTGATTTGATTTCATGAGATATTTTTACTCCTTTACAAAAAAAACCCCATTATAAATCAGAATGCATTTTTTTATTAATCTGTGCGCATGTTTTTTTTTTTACCTCATAAGTCTTAATCCAAATGTTATAACACTGAATGTGTGAAACAACAGACTTCTCTCTGGTGACGTATGCCGGACTTCTCCACTCATTTAGTCTGCATAAACCCGTCCCTTTAATGCAATCGACTGCAAGCTTGCATTCAGGTCTGCCTCCATCTAATCAACAACTGATGGATAGCACCTTTGTCCGATATATTTTTTCTTTTTTGATAATCCGTTTCACTTAGATGCATGTCTCAATTCAGAAGAAAAGACCTGTCGCTACTTCTGTTACATGTCCTGTGTCACTGACACGTGTCTGTCCTTGAACAACTCACAGGTGTGGAAGGAGGTCGTGAAGGCCAGAGGGGAGAGTTCACTCTGCTTTGCAGGGATTCCTCCGGAGAGCAGATGGGCCGAGGTGGAGACCCCGTGCTGGTCAGCATAGTGCACAAGGAGAGGAAGGGCTGGTGTGTATAGGAAAATTAAGACAGTAGAGTCACTAAAATCTTTACATGGTTGAAGCATTGGCAGAACATTTTTGCCAGTGCTTTCTAATTACAGATTCTTCTTGAACTATCAATGCACATGTAATTTCATCAAATGAACATATTTTGTTTGAATTTATTCTGAGATTCTTCTTGTTCATGAGTGAATAAATAAATGTTTTAGGCCTTTTAAAATTTGATTATATAGGCCTGAATGTAAGATTTATGTATTTTAATTGCAAATAAAATTTTGATTACTAATAAACTTAATGTGATACATATTGATAGCCATACTTAAAGGGATACTCCACCCTAAATTTTAATTTTGGGGTGGAGTATCCCTTTATTTTCTGTCATTATTTACTCACCCTCATGTTATTCCAAACCCGTAAGACTCACTAGACTCATCATCGGAACACAATTTAAGATATTTTTGAAGGAATCTGAGAGCTCTCTGACCCTCCCATAGACAGCAATGGTCCTTACATGATCAAGGTCCAGAAACGTAGCAAGGAGATCGGTAAAATAATCCATGTGACATCAGCGGTTCAACCGTAATTTTACAAAGCTAAACAAACAAAAACAAAAACAAACCCCGACTTTATTCAACAATTCGTCTCCTCCGCGTTACCCTGGTGCCATTTTGGAGAATATCAGCTGGATGTAAATTGTGTATTCTATTTTGTGTCAGCTGTGCCATGCAGATACATTGTTTTCGTTCAAATCAAAGCGTAAACGACGTAAACGGTGTATCCGCGTGGCACAGCTGATTTACGTTAAGTGGATACTCTCCAAAATGGCACTAGGGTGATTTCTTTTGCGCTCAAAAAGTATTCTCGTAGCTTCGTAAAATTATGGTTGAACCCCGATGTCACATGGATTATTTTACCGATGTCCCTGCTATGTTTCTGGACCTTGATCATGCTGTCTATGGGGGGGTCAGAGAGCTCTCAGATTCCTTCAAAAGAAGGAAGAAGTACATAATGACAGAATTTTCATTTTTGGGTGAACTATCCCTTTAAATGAAACAAGAATGAGATTTCTGAAGTAGTAGAAATAATAAACTGAACTGTGACTTTTCATGAGTGTATCTGTCACTTTACAGCTCTGTGGAGGCGGCTGTGGTGGATAACGGTGATGGTTCCTATGGTGTGTCCTACACCCCAGCTGAAGCAGGTCTTTACTCTGTGTGGGTCTGTGTTAAAGCACAGGACGTCAAGGTAAGTGTTTAGTTAAACCAGTGCAGCTGTGTCTAATAATGATAGCATTTTACTGGCCAGTTTAAAGGAATATCAGTGATGCTGGGAATGATATTCTAACAAAAGGTGGTTTCTAGGGTTCACCATTTGCACTAAATGTGAAAAGGAAGTTCAGATGTCACCGTGGCATGTTCCATTGTTGTTCCTTCTGCTCCAGCGGGGGCACTAAAGAGGCACGCTGTGGCTGCACAGGAACTATGCCAGGTACTGTTTACTCTGTTTTTGTTTACACCTAAAATGTAAAAAAAAAAAAAAAATATTTTTTTAAAGTCTGTTTTCACCTAATATGAATTTCTGTGTGTTTGCGCACTCAGGAGGTTTTCAGGGTTGTGGACATGGTCATACAGGACACCCCGGTAAGCCCCACTGGTCATGTTGTGGGAGTGTAGTGGAGGCCTCAGAGTGTATTCTACATAACCTGAGCTGCGTTTCTCCTCGTGGACACCTCAGGACTGTGGAGCTCTGAGACAAACAGCAAATATACACTCTGTCTGATCAACATAACCATAAACTCATGCACATACTTGAATCTTCTCAACCAGCCTAATTCACAATGAAAAATCAGATTGTGCTTTTCATGTTGCCCTTATTCATACAGACTGTCTGTATTGTAAAAATTGAACTATTTTCTCTACACATTGTAGTTATTTTTAAACACTGTATAATTTTAATGTCTGTGGCATTTTGTAGTTCCGTATTTTATCATAATCAGTATGTTTCCTTTGATATTACCCAGCTATATGACCAATGATGTATGTGTTATTATAATGCTCTATTTTTATATTCTCCAAAAGCTGCCTTTGTAATCGTATGCATCCATTACATTTCAGTTGTTTTTGTATACGCTGTAACGGTGCCACAGATTAAACAACACTTACCTCTCCACTTGTGTGGTAACTAAACTGGCACTTTTAAGATTATCATTTTGATTGTTAATGTGATATGTTTTGCATAGTGTATACTGTGTAGTGTGGTCTATAAAACATGCATATAAAACATATTTTAATCTGTGCAGTTATTGTTTGGTTCTCATCAAACAACTAATAGTTTTACATATTTATATATTTGCCACTTTTTTATTACTGATTTTAAGCACAGATTTTTTTTAATCAGAAGTGACGGTTTAAACTTAAAATGCTTAACGATGGATTTTTGCTTTTCACTTCATAAGATGTTAACTGACAGACTGGCGTCGTGGATTATTGTGATGTTTTTATCAGCTGTTTGGACTCTCATTCTGATGGCACCCATTCACTGCAGATGATCCACTGGTGAGCAATTGATTTAATGCTACATTTCTCTAAATCTCTTTAGAGAAGAAACAAACTCATCGTGCTGGATGGCCTGAGGGTAAGTCAATTTTCAGCAAATTTTCATTTTTGAGAGAACTACGTTTAACAGTTCAACACAGTGGATATGTTTTAATCAACATACTGGATTGTTCTGTCTAACACTAGATGGCAGCACGCAGCAGTGCTTTGTGCGGAAGTTGCATTGCTTGGTGGCTACATTTCAGTGATGAGGAGTTTACTTAATAGCCTATATACCGACAATGTTAGGATAAATCGACTGTTTACGTGAATACTCATCAAGACGGGCATTTTGACATAATTTTGTATGTATTTGGTCGTTTACACGCAATAAGACGCAACACGGCTTCATTCTGTAGTCGCGCGCTGTCCGATACGGCTCTGTGCGCGCGCGCTTTTTACCAAAAGCCCAATCTGGCAACACTGCTGCAGCGTGTTCTGGGATTTCTAACGGTTCGATTCTCTCAAGTCTGCTTTCGATGCATCCTCGATATCAGGCCGTTTCATGCGTCCTTTGTACTTGCGTTCGTAGAGTAAGAACACGAGGACGCAAAGAAAATGGTTTAACATCTACGTTTACATTAGAACATCTAAACATTTATTTATACTGTATATTATAACTAATATGTAATATATAACTAATATGGAAATGCCGTATATACACACAGATACATATAGGGAGAAAATATAATAATAAGAACGATTTTCCTGTAGCAGCTACTGGACTGAGAATTGGAACAGTATGTAGGCTACATGGTATTTTAGTTTTGGCCTGTGAGAGTGTCTATTGGCTGTTTGTTTCTTGATTGTGCTATGAATTTTGCAGCAATATTTGCACATTTGTCTTTTTCTAATGAAACAAAGAGAATGAAACAGTTTTTCAGTTGGGCTACAAATGTTAAATTAGGGAAATATTTGATTCATTTTGGGGTAATAGTGGTCTCTAATGTTGAGACGTGAGTTTCACATCAGTCACTGTGCTCAGGCAGTTTGCCATGGTGTACTCTCGTTTTAGTGCTGAATAACATTCTAATTTGTGTTGGTTTTTAATGGTGTTTGTCCAATGGGTGACGTATGGCCGAATGGTTGAGAGTGAGTCCTGAGGCTGGCTGAACTCTGCCGGCGTGAGCTCAGACAGGCTCAGCACCAGCTGAAAGAGGGGACTCTTTGTGAGGTTCTGCTCGTGATGTTTTAGGGCTTTATAATGGTATGTGCTGGTGTGGCTTGTCTTTAGGCGTTTCCAGAATTGGATGGCTTTTTTTTTTGGATGTTTAGAAGGAGAAGGTATTGGCCTAATTCTGCCCTGCATCCTTTATTTGGTGTTTTTCTTTGGACTTTTGAGTATTCTTTTACAGAAATGTTTTTCCCAGTTTAAAAAAATCTAATTTTATAGGTGGACCCCAGACTTGTCTGCCATATAATACGATTGTTTCAATTACTGATTTGAAAAGTTTGAGCCAGATTTGAATTGGGATGTCAATTTTAATTGATCTTTTTATGGCATAGAAAGCCCTTTGAGCTTTCTCTTCGAGTTCATTCACAGCCAAAGTTAAGTTCAATTTCTGCCTGTATGTCGGTATAAGATGAACCAGACAGTGATCAGAGAGCCCCAAAGCTGCTCGTGGGACAGAGTGATATGCATCCTTTATTGTGGTGTAACAGTAATCCAGTATATTACTGTCTCTGGTAAGACATGTAATGTGTTGTCTGTATTTTGGCATTTCACGTGTGAGATTTGCTTTATTAAAGTCCCAGAGAATGATTATAACAGAGTCCGGGTGTTGTTGCTCTGTCACTGCGATCTGATCAGCCAGCTGTTGTAGCATCAACAAAGAAAATGGTTTAACATCTGAATATTTACATTAGAACATCTGAACATTTATTTATTTATTATAACTAATATGTAATATATGACTAATATGGAAATGTCATACATATTCACACAGATACATATAGGAAGAAAAAATTAAAATAATACTAATAACGATTTTCCTGTAGCAACTACTGAACTGAGAATTGGAACATTATGTACATGAGTAACAGTATTTCAGTTCTGGCCTGTGAGAGTGTGTCTGTGGCGGTGTGTTTCTGGAGTGTGCTTTGTTCCTGAGGTGATGGCACAATGCTATGAATTTTGCAGCAATATTTGCACATTTGTCTTTTTCTAATGAAACAAAGAGAATGAAACAGTTTTTCAGTTGGGCTACAAATGTTAAATTAGGGAAATATTTGATTCATTTTGGGGTAATAGTGGTCTCTAATGTTGAGACGTGAGTTTCACATCAGTCACTGTGCTCAGGCAGTTTGCCATGGTGTACTCTCGTTTTAGTGCTGAATAACATTCTAATTTGTGTTGGTTTTTAATGGTGTTTGTCCAATGGGTGACGTATGGCCGAATGGTTGAGAGTGAGTCCTGAGGCTGGCTGAACTCTGCCGGCGTGAGCTCAGACAGGCTCAGCACCAGCTGAAAGAGGTGACTCTTTGTGAGGTTCTGCTCGTGATGTTTTAGGGCTTTATAATGGTATGTGCTGGTGTGGCTTGTCTTTAGGTGTTTCCAGAATTGGATGGCTTTTTTTTTTTGGATGTTTAGAAGGAGAAGGTATTGGCCTAATTCTGCCCTGCATCCTTTATTTGGTGTTTTTCTTTGGACTTTTGAGTATTCTTTTACAGAAATGTTTTTCCCAGTTTAAAAAAATCAAATTTTATAGGTGGACCCCAGACTTGTCTGCCATATAATACGATTGTTTCAATTACTGATTTGAAAAGTTTGAGCCAGATTTGAATTGGGATGTCAATTTTAATTGATCTTTTTATGGCATAGAAAGCCCTTTGAGCTTTCTCTTCGAGTTCATTCACAGCCAAAGTTAAGTTACCTGTTGAAGTAGGCTAATTTTTAGGCTGAGGTAATTGTATGTCTTTGTGGTTTCAGTGGTTCTGTGTGATAGTGTGAATGTGTGTCTCAACTTCAGTTTTGCGAAGCTACGAGAATACTTTTTGTGCACAAAGAAAACAAAAATAACAATTTATTCAACAATTCTCCCGAGTTACGTCTTCCGCCATTTTAGAGTATCACAACATATATGCGCGCTTTCCCCTAAGCATAAACAACGCTGATTACGCAGATTACCTTCATGCGCGTGCTTTCTCCTCTGAACGTAAACAACGCTGATTACGTCGATTACGCTCTTGGGTACTCTCCAAAATGTCGGAAGACGCAACTCAGGGGAGAAGAATTGTTATTTTTGTTTTCTTTGCGCTCAAAAAGTATTCTCGTAGCTTCACAAAACTGAAGTTGAGCCACTGATGTCACATGGACTGTTTTACCGATGTCCTTACTACGTTTCTGGACCTGGGGACATTAGAGTTGCGTTGCTGTCTATGCAGGGTCTGAGAGCTCTCAGATTCCATCAAAAATATCTTAATTTGTGTTCCGAAGATGAACGTAGGTCTTACGGGTTTGGAACGACATGAGGGTGAGTAATTAATGACAGAATTTTAATTTTGGGGTGAACTAACCCTTTAATGTGACCTATTAAGGTAAAAATTTTTAATGTAAAAATGTATATTTCCTAGGCTATATAAAATGTATACATTATATATTTATCTCCACTTGCAAAAAGAAGCCTGAGATTAATTCCAGAAAAGATATCAGACAATGACCTCTAATATGTTTCTTCTATGCCATGCACATACAAAGCAGTGGATTAAAGTAGCAGTCAATCTGATTCAGAAGGACACCATACATGCTTTGAACCCTTGGTTTTCTCTTTGAAATCTCTGAGCTCACACACTCAAGGATATGAGGAGTTCTGTAAGCCTGCAAACAGATGAGTTTTTATCAGAACTGTTCAATAAATGTATCTATTTATTATAATCTACTAATTATCTGATATATTAAGTGGCTATTTATGGTCATTATTAAGATGTCCTCGCTCATTTTTATAGTTAATTATTTTGTGTTAATTAAAAGGAATGTTTTTAGTTAATACCCCTAGTTTACATATCTATACAAAGATCCGTTTTCATCTATATTTTCTTAAATATGAATTGTATATGTTTGGATTGTGCATAACCCTATCCCTTTTCCTGTTTATAAAACAGCTTATATTTATATAGCCTAAACTTAAGGAACAATAGAACTGATGTTTTATCCATGTTTTTCATTAAAAATAAAAAAAAAGTTTATTTTCCTTTCTTTTTCCTATTCCTAAATCTGTGTTGATCCAAGAACATGTCCTTGGCAAAATCACACAATCTAAATGATCAATAAAATATATTTTGATTAACAAATATAAAAGTGGTGTTAAATCTAATTTGCATTTCAGAGAAGAATCTCAAATGTGACCCACATATGCAATCTATGGGGTCTAAAATAATTATGCATTAATCTGAATTGGTTTGATGGCACACATCTCAGGTCACATGACAGATTCAAGTCTATTTAGGGGGGAAGGTCTGTTACACTGATGCTATGACCTGGATAGAATCTAAATGGCTGTTGGGATGGGGGCTTGGATGGAAGAAAGTGCAGATCATAATATAAAGCATATATATACTTGTGCTACTTGTTTGTCATCAGAAGACATCACTAATGGTGTACATCGTTAAACTCGTTGCCTGTTTTTAGAGACCTCATATTCCTTGGTGTGCACTTCTTCTGTGAACAACTTTACGTAATCCTCATGGGCTCAAGAGC